TGGGTAATCTCGTTGGTTTATCAACTTGAAGAACTAAAATGAACGAAACTTTAGAGAAAACCATTTAAATGCTTTATTAACATCTTCAAAATAATTTAGAAAAAATTTACCAAAGCCACCATAAATCTGTTAATAAACACCATAGAAGCTTGAGACTCAATACTAACAGAACAAATGGTGATAAATTAAATCAAGGGAAATTTGGAGGAAGGAAACTACAAAATAACTAAATATTAGCTAGATATATAACATAGCAGGAAAAAAATACCTACCTATCAACAAAACCAGAGCAAAGACAGGGCAAAAGGTTTTAAAAAAAAGGGAAAAAAGGAGCAAAGACAGAGCAGAAGTTACCTGAATCCCAGCTTTGTTTGCAGCAGGCAGCATGGTGGTTACTTAGCATTGAGATCCCATGAGTTTTTAACACCTAGTTTTCTATTACCTTAGACTTCAAAAAAGGAAAACAGTTATCATCTTCTTAGAAAAGTTTGCAATGTTGTATGTTTCCATTTGTCCGTTAGTGGAAAATGTTGAAATTGCTAGATTTTGGTGGTATCAAGTTATGAACTCTCATGTTTGTATATTTCAGTAGCAATCTATCTTGATGTAAGTAAAGTGTTGAGTGTTGACAATTTGCTTATGTCGGTTTTGTCCAATCTTCACTCATGGTATTTTTCATATGTAGGGAACCACTTACAAAGTTTCAGACTAGAAATGTTCTGTTCTTTCTATGATAAAGTATTTCATTTATTGAGTGCTATGCTGTATCTAGTTCTAATGTATTAAAGTAGCATACTTGTCTTCAATTTTACAGTTTAGCATAGTTTAATTTGATTGGATACATGGAAATTTGGTTTTGCAGATTTCAGAGGCCTCCAGGAGCATTGCCATCATCCATGTTGGGATTAGAGGCCCTAACTGGTGATTTAGATGATTTTGGAGTTGAAGATTATCTCAATCGTAATGAACGTGACTTTATTTTCCTTTTTCTTTATTTGAACCATTTTTAATGAAATTAGCATGAAATACTGACTGGTGTCCAAATTTTAGCTGAATTCAATCCTGAAGAAAGTGCATTTATGATCCCATCTACTTGAAACTGAACTTTTTTAATATAAAACCAAGAGAAGTAAATTCCTTTGAAGTTGATGTTTTCTTCAGACCTTTTCTCAAAATGTTTGTAAAGGTAGTATTTGAGGTTCTTCCTTTTCATTCGAGTCTCCTGTGTTTCACACATGGCTGGATCCTTTGGACATCTAAATGAACGTGATGATGCCATTTGAAATTGATGTTGAGCTGTTGCTCTATCCAGAATTTCATATTTTCCTTGGTTCACCACATTGATCATAAATATTTTCTTGCTTAAGAGAGATAGAGAGCCGGTTGGACGTTCAGCCAATGTTTTCCCATATGATGGGACTAATTTGAAAATCTTTAGGAAATATCTTCAGGACGTTGGAATTCAGTATTTGTTGCAGATCCAAGTGGAGACACATCTGCAAGAAACTGAGAGTGCATCTTTCCATGAGGTAGATTAGCATAGCTCAAAGGTCTTTAGTGGTCATATCAGGTGAGTGAACGTGCAGCTGAATGTCGTAGTAATACAAGTAATACACTTGTAGGTCTTGGCTTTTAGTCCAATTGTAATAAATGTTGAGGCATAAAAGCACTGATCGAGTCTGGCTTAACTGGTCACAACAGCCATCTAACATTACTGACTGACAGTGAAGCTGTATTTTACCCAAGTTGATGCACTTGTTTGTATAAGTTGATGTAATTGTTTTATTACTTGCTTGCAGTACCACAAGACTCCGAAACTTTCAGGCCTGCTGACATGCATCACGGAATGGAAGTTCGACTTGGCCTTTCCAAAGGACCAGCTTTCCCAAGCCTTATTTGAATTACACATGTGGGAAACTAAAATCGTGTTTCTGGTCAAAGACTGACAAGGTTTCTATGCTTAAGACATTTGATAACTGTAAAGGCTTTGAACATGCATTGCAAGGCATATATTAGTCTGTGATGGACCGTGAAAATCTTGTTGCCTGAATTGGAGTAGTTATTCATGGATATTTCTGTTCTCTTGCTAAAAGACTTGCTACATAATGTGTGCTTGACAGTCTTTTCTTTTCGACACAAATGTTACTTAAACTATATTTTATTCTTGATAAGTTTGTTTGCCAGCTGGAAGAAACAGGGATGAAAATGGAATGACCATCCATTGATTGGATAGAAAGGATGAGTACATGTTTGAGAAGTTGAGGATAAATAGGGGTGTCAGTTTTATTCACAGCTGCATGTGCTAATCGCGTTATTAGATGTAAAGGCCGTTAATTTTGTCTGATTTGGCATGACCTAGTTTTTGTAGTTGCTGGTAAAGTACATGTTTACATAGTACCATCTAAATGGTGCGAACATTTTGGAAGGGCTGATCCTGAGGTAAGAGGCTTGATTTATCGCGGGTTTTGAATAAGATTAGTTTTCCTTTCAGGGTTGGTTTTTACGTTACATATTTTAAACATGGACGAGTTGATGAAAATGAGGTTAATGGCAAAATGCTGTCCTTACAAATAAAGGAAACCAAGGAACTTTCACTTGGTTAGTAAGGCTGTAACTGAATTACAGATGATCCTTACCATTTCTCCTTGCTTTTACTTCTCTACAAATTGAGGGTTCACAAGTGTTAATAAACGGTCTGAAACGTAATCAATGCTACCGTGAGGCATCATGGGTTGAAGGATTATCTGCAATTTGCTCTAAAGCCATACTTATCTCTTGTAATATGAATAGTCTAGTTAGAATTATTTTATCCTTTTCCATCATTTCAACTCAACCCTTGAGCATGAAAGGATAATGCTTCGTTCGTTCATATTAAATTTCATTTGCATGATGCACATATGGGAAGCATAACGCTGTGTACACAGAGCAAGAGTAAAGCAATCGGGGGATCCAGGTCAAGAGAGCAGTGAAACGCTGCTGCGACATATATTTGGATAACGCTAATTGTGACTGCTTCATCACTAAGGTTGAGCTCCAAGTCCCCCAAGTTTTAACAACTAGCGTTTACTTACTACCTACGTAAGAACTGTTATCTATGGTTTCAGCCTTTCAGGCCTTCATTAAGAAGGAACAAATTTTAAACATAAGAACTCAATTACATTGTACGAAAAATATTCACTGAATACCAAAGCAATACTCTTCAGCGAATTTTAACTGGCGCAGGGATCAATCACTTGATCACTGTCGGGCAGTTCATTCCCTTCACAAATCATGGGATATTACAGATACGGAATTTTGATCTCCCCCTGGGGATTGCTTGGAATTGAATGTAAGTGCTCATGCTGTACTGGTCTGCAGATATTTCAGCAGATCCAGTCATTTAGAGTCAAAATGAGCATGGTGGTTCGTACAAACTCTGTTACATATTTGTTCACTTTATCGAGAACAAAAAAAAAAAGGTCACTGACAAACAAGGAAAAATTTACATATGCTGCAAAAAATGAATTGCAAACACTAGACGAACCAAAAAGATCCATCTACTGCAAAATTTAGATTGATTTTTTGCCCAAAAAGGGAATATCACGCAAGTTTGCCCGAGCTCGAGGGCCATTTCCACCTCTGAGCAGCCTGCTCCAGGATTTTACTCCGGTCTCGAATTTTCAATGCCTCTTCCTCCACCCAGTACCTGCAGATTATTGCATTTCATGGATGGAATACATCATCAGGATTACTTTCACTCAATATTCTTTTAAAAAAAGTAAAGGAAAGACAATGCATTTGATTTTTGCTGTAAACTTATTGATTGATGATAATAAAAGAAACTTTAGACTTCTCCCTTTAATAACTAAAGATTGAATTAAATGCTAAGATTTGCCTTATAATAAACAGATCTATACAAGAAAGAAGTAGCCAAAAACCTGAGAATCCGGAGAGCTTCTTTCTCGGCTTCCAATATTGATTTGGCTTCAATCGCTGCATCTTGCTGGTCATGCAAATCAGCGAACAGTTTCTCTAAACTTTGTTGCTCCGCAGAGAGATTAATCTTTTCAGTTGAAAGTCTATCATTCATGTCATCGACTTCTTTCCTGAGACTAAGTAACAGTTGCTGTTGATAATCCAGAGCCGCTTTCTCCTTCATATATTCAGCAAGACCCTCATCTCGAGCCGTTTTCTCCTTCTCAAGTTCAACCAATGCGGTTTGGAAATCTCTCTGAACCTCTATCTCTCGTTCCTTCTCCTTATTGAGCTTTTCTTCCCATGTACCCTGTATTTCTCCTCTCCGTATTAAGTCAGACCTGATTTCTTCCATCTCAGCTAATTTTGCTTGATTTTCCGCTTCGCGCCTCGATATTTCTGACTGAATAATTTCCGTCATTCGACCGCTGGTCAGTGCAACTGCTGCCTGTGCTTTAGTGACAGGTTTATGTGGTTGAAGCCGCCTAATATTTCCTATTAATATGTAAAGAACAGAAGATATCCGTAAATACAAGTGGCACAGTTTTAATAGCAGTAAGAACAATAACACTGCCAGACACTAAAGCGTTAATTTTTACAAACAAATACCACCAGAAGCTTTTGCGAAAGAGAAAAACGTATATGCCGGTACTTTATATTTATTTAGACTTCACACAGCCGGCATAATGTGGGATTTAACTAATATTTAAATAAATGACAAAAGGTACATTACTTGTTGACTAGTGTTCCTAGAACCTAGCCAATGTGGCAAGGTTCTGGGCAAATATCATAAAACTAAAGTAATAAATGAATAGATAGTTACGCTGCTGAGATTTATCTTTAAAATATAACAGAAGGGAGAAACCCAGCATTCATGACATTTTAAAGTTTTGTTTTTAAAACCCTTATAATTTTTAGCTTATCCTGTTGCTTTCTTTTTGACTCCATGCATTGTCTCTTCAAAGAAAAAAGAAGAAAGAGTGGTCCTGAGAGAAACCCCATCCTTATTCCCCTTTGAAGCACACGTTTTCTGATGGGCATGTCAAGTCTCTCTTCCTTTGGCTTAGATTTTGTGCATCTATGTTTTTGGCCATATAGGCTGTCTTGAGTCTGAATATGGATGCTTATGGTCGCATGACTTTTGCATTAATTATTTGCATTTTCCTTCAATGAGTTGCTCCTGTGTTCTTACTGATTTGCAATTTCTCTTCGGTAATTCATACATGATGCAAACTTTGCTTTTGTGTTAAGATTTCTATTTACCAGTTTGGCACTCCAGTTACTAGTTCCATACTGAAAGCATTGAAGTGAAATATAAAGACCATGAAGTTGCTCAATTCCTCAGGAATCCATTGCCCATGTCTAAGCATGCCCGACTCGTTTTCTTCTCCTTTTAGCTTTGTTTCGACTTCCAAATGGCCACAAATTCTACTAATGGCATCAAATCCTTTTATAGTCTACTTAACTATGACACAACAGCCGTGTTCAGTTTTTAAAACGAGAAAAGTTATTGCTGTTGGAGGCAGACATTTGAAAAGGGTAAAATTGTCAAAAACCAGATGGAAATTATTGTTTAGCAGAATGTTACCTAGCCATTTAACGGGCATATAATAACTTAGCTCTGTTTTGCATGAGATTTGTATAAATATTAGAAATTGATGGAGACTGACATCAAAACAAGGTAGTACAAGAAACTCCCCCACAACTTGAATCTATTTTTTTTTTTTTTTTGGGGGGGGGGGAGTAGAAAGTTTACAGTGCATTTTGTCAAGGGCTGACGACATCTCTTCTACATGGCAGACATGTTTCATAATTTGAATTTATGTGTAAGCAAATAAAGTTCAAACTATTATTAATCTAGAACTTAAACGTGATCTAAGAGCAAAAAAACTAGACCATCTCCCCAATGTAGATGAGTCATATAGTATCAAAGAGAGAGACCAGTTGAAAGAGTGTGAAGGTATTACGCAAAAACTCTTCTAAGTGTGCTCTTGTCACCAGCCATCAGGTCCATCAATAACTGTGGTGATCCATCTAGACCGCTTGCACTCAAGTCCAATAAACCCACTTTCATCCTTAACATCTGGACTGTAAATAAGTCAGACTTTAAGAAGCTAGCAGATTATTAGAAACAGACAGCTGGCATAATCTAACATAAAAAAAAGTTTCTCAGATAATCTTACTTCTTCTTTCACTTCAGAAGTAAATGGATACTCCACCATCACTTTCCAGTTTATTAGATCAAACCGAGATATAAAACTGATCAGAAAAACATAAAAATCATATGACGATCTAACACATTCAATTGAAAATAAGAAACAAGACGAAAACATTAAGTTAAAGCAGCACCTTTCAGGATAAAAATTAAATACTTCTCGTCCACCTGAAGAACCTACATTTGATAGACTGGAGTCCACAGCAGACAGCTTGCTCAGAACAACGCCAGCTTCACCAAGAGCTTTAATAACAAACTCATCAGACAAGGGTCCAAGAACACATTTTTGTAAGCTTTAAATCAATTGTCATGTGATTTGCCATACAACTCACCTTGAATACACCAAAAGTCTGGGTCATTAGAACTCACATCATCAAATGCTGTAGCGGTTGAACCTGTAACCAACATTATGGGCACTATCTTGTACTTCGAATTTCTACAAGCAAGGCACTAAAAATTATGAACTTTGTGATAATGGAAAAATGAATGGAATTTAGTTTTAGATATCTAAGTTGACTGGGAGTTTGTTGGTTTATTTACCTTTCCAACATATAGTTTGCCTTAACAAACCATCGTGCGTATTCCCTTCTTGTACACAGTTCATCAGCACTGGCATCATTTTCAATGATCTGAGTGCCATGAAAAATCAATCCAAATCTCATGCTCAGATTGGAATAAAGACTTCATGTGTTCTGACATATGAAAACTTAGGCACATGTATTGACTAAACATTCCAAAATTTATTTATTACGTTTTAAGTAGGCTTTTGATAATATTGAATGCATCGAAGATATTATATTTTCTTTAACAACCACTATTGTAGATTGTGAGAACATGAAACTACAGATAACTTTTCACAAATATAGCAGTCATTGTTTTCCAGTAACAGACAGATTTTAATATTGAAATGTATGAAACTGTGAGAGTAGAACAAAGGAGATGGAAGTTACAGATATAAATAACAAAAAATGTGATTGCAATCAGTACAATAATCCTTGCACCAAAGGGAAGAAGTTGAGAATCTTGAGATGAAATATCTAAATTATACTATTTACATCACCATGTATTTCCCAGTAATGTTTAGTTGTTTACAAGTACTGTTGCTCATCCTTCTATCAATAGTACAAGTATAAGACAACATAGTTTTGTTGTGGAGTTTTCACTTGTATACTCCCCAAATCATTGGTATTTTTAGATCTACCCTCTAAATCTTCACAATTCCCAATTCACCTTCCAATTACCTTCCGCCATTCCCTGGAATAGATCCTGGCCCATATCTTGGATCCATAGAAAAACAGAAGACCCTTCAGGATTTAAGGGCCTCAGGGTTACACTTGTCAGGTGACTCACTGTAGTTTTGAAACTAATTCTTGGTAACTTCTAGTGGAGTCATTTGTAATTTTTTGATTGCCGGGGGACTTATATGCATTGTTATCGAGGCGCAAGGCGCAAGACGGGGCGCAAAGGCCCCTTACGCGCACCATGCAAGGCGCAAGACGGGGCGCAAAGGCCCCTTACGCGCACCATGCAAGGCGCACAACGATGCGCGCACCTCACTGAATTGAGGCGCACAACTCAAACTAATATTTTCCAACATAAAACAAAGAAGCATATAGCAACATGTTTATAAATTGTCACATAAAAAACCAAGAAATATAATTTCACCGACTAAATCACGAAAGAGTCTTAATTAGCATGCATAACATATAAAAGTTCATAAGTTTCCGCAAATCACAATGCAAGATAATCTCTAACATATGCAAAAATCTATGAAACAAAACAAGCAAGTAACAAATAAGAAATATGTATTTTCATTTAAAATATGATATATATATTTTTAAGTAACAATTAAGTGATTAAAAAAACATGATTGTTCATAATTTTCTAGTTAGCATTCTTAAATATTTTTAAGTAACAATTAAGTGATTAAAAAAACATGATTGTTCATAATTTTCTAGTTAGCATTCTTAATTGCTATTTGCTAGTTAGCATGAAAAGTTAGCATTCTTAATTGCTATTTGCTAGTTAGCATGAAAAGATAGAGAATGGAGGTAACAATTACATATTACATGTTCATAATTTTTTAGTTAGCATGCTAATTAGAGAAAGAAGTTACAATTAGCAAACAAGTATACTAAATTACTAATTATTGTTTCCTTTTTATAGGTTAAACATGAAAAGATGGAGAATGGATTAGCAACTAGCAATAAAGAGTATTACATGATGTAAATATGTAATATGTAAATTATTTAAAAAAAACAGAAGAAAGAGTCTATTACATGACGCAGGTGTCAAGTGCGTGCGAGGCGCACGCGTCTGGTGCGGGGCGCAATTGCCCCAGCCCGCAGTGCCTCGCGCCCGAGGCGCGCGCCTCGATAACAATGCTTATATATATGATCATGAGAGTTTTGTGAATGCGACAAAGCAAACAAATGTAGTCATTTTTCAGAGCATGGTGGATGGCTTACCACACTAAAAACCATTGCGGTCATCAAAGAAGTAAGAAATGTCAAGATTGGTTATATTTCTCAGTGTGAATCTAATTTGTAACTTCTTCTTACAAGATTTAAAGACTAATTATATGTTGTTACATAGAATTTGAGGTGGTCAATCCAGTGTACGGATCTATTAAAATCATTACTTGACTGAAGGCTTAAAGTTCAATGAGCACGTAGAGTATTCTTTTTTCACCATTGTGTGCTCCACACCAACCCCCCTCCCCCTCTCAAGGAGGAAAAAAGGTAGAAATGTTCCGTGAGATTTTTTAATAAGAAAAAGTATGGAGGAAGAAGAAGAGGTGAGTAGTAACTCTACCTTGATTCTATTTGTGATCCTCCTACAAATTGGAGGATAAGTTGATAATTATGAAAATGCGGACAACAATTTTAAAATATGAAAAATCGGAGGGTAAAACAACATCAAAGGCTTCATCCTAAATTTTTAGGCCAGCTAATCTTATTCTCTATCCGATTTTGTTAAGCATTATCTCCTTCATTATTAATCACTATCACATTCTTTTGAATTGTTTCCAACCAAGTTATTTTATGCCCACCTCTAATCCTCTTTACCTTATTAATTTCAATCTTATGACCAAACCATCTCAATTAATTCTCACGTTTTATTATTATCAGGCATGGTGTGGCCTCTGCCGAAAATTTTAATTTGTCCTTTATCCTTGTATACCGGTACCTAATCGGCGATAATTGAACATTTTCTTGGTATCAATAATATTGTTGAATATCTTGGTCAACCATCCTATCCAAGACATTCTAAAATCTAAACTTCGGTACAAATATTATCAGGTCCTACAACTCTTCCAATTTTTCTTTATAGAACATTAACTTCATTAATCTTAATCTATGTTGCATGGGCATGGCCATGGGTATGAGTATGAGTATGGGACACAGCAAATTTGTAAAAGGTAGGGTACGGGAACATGGCCATATAAATATTTATATAATATATACACATATATTATATATTAGAATTAATAATTTATATGAGAACAAGAATTAAGAATTAATAATTTATATAAGAACAAGAATGGGAATTAAGATTCCTATAACATTTTTATGTTTCTTTTATTATGCGGATTATCTTTTGGAAAATCACTAGTTTTTTGAACTAGATATCTAAACGATCCTTCAAAATTATATAATTCGGAATATGACTTATGTCCAATGAGTTTCAAGAAGTGGATGTGAAGTCTACGATATATGTCCAAAAATGTATGACAGGTGTTTTAAGTTAAAACAATGTATTGTATAGTTGAGTACATGCGCGAATAAATGTATGCATATATGCAAGGAGTGTCCAAGAAGTTTGGGTATAGGTATGGATACATGTCAGGTACGAATATGGCTTCAGATTAGAAGTATCTAGGTAACATAGATCCTAATAATTTGAAGATTAGAAGTATCCAGGTAACATAGATCCTAATAATTTGACTATGTTCTTTAGTCTGGTGGTTATCAATAAACGATTTATGAAAATACCTCCACCTCGCTTTAATTTCATCATCACTTGCTAAGACTCTTTGGTCTTTGACTCTTCATACATCTAGCATTAATTATGTTTCCATCTTTCTTTCTCTCATCTCTGCAAGCTTATATCCCCACCCCCCCCCCCCAAAAAAAAAAAGCGCTCCAGCCTCTTACATAAATTGTAACTCATAGTGTTAGCCTCGCTAACTGCATCTTTGCCTCCTTCAAATTTTCTATACTGTGGGCCATCTGCGGGAGACCAACAATAATACCTAAAAGAAATTTTAACAATATTCACACATTCAAACATATATTAAGTTGTATGTTGTTTAGTTTTTTTTCCTATCTGTGTGTCAATTGACTGGAGCTATTTCAGGTGGTTTATGATACTGATACTTGATGCTGCTCATGAACTAAGAGCGGCTGGCAAAATAAAAATGCACGGAGAACAAGTTCAGAGAATGTTCTTATAACCTTCAGCTTCTTCAAAACATCCAGTGCCTCTTGCTGGAGTGGATCAGCGGCTAAAGGAACAATTATGCGCTTGATTCCGCCCAAATCTGAAAGAAAAGAGTTGTCAGAACACTTGGCAATCTATTATAGTAGGAAAAAGTCAAAAAATCGATGAGGACTTGATATCCAGTTAAAATATATATACACACTCCTACAGCTCTGTTATTTCCTGCATTCCTGACTGTTGAAATGAGAGGTTCCACAGAGATCATGGATAAATCATAAGGTAGTAAAGATAGCATGGAGCAATATTAAGGGGGTAAAAGGTACGTGCAGTATAAAATTTAAAATAGAAGAGCTCTAATATGTAGTAGACATGTAGAATGACTTCTAGTTGAAGCTCCAGAGATAGACTAGAAGCCACCCTAACAACAAGAAACAGCCCTACTGCATTAATTCAATTCAGTCAAACTAGTATTCAGCCAACTCTAATTGACATAAGCAAGTCAAATGAAATGTCAGAAGCAGCTTGCACCAGGAACAACAAACCACAAGGATATAAAATTGGCTTGATTTACAAAAGAACAAAGATAAATTATGTCATATATGCTCATAACTAACAACTTTTTGTATAAATTCTAAAATGAGGGAAACAGGCACTTCCTACATGGACATTAAGGAGAAGGGGAGAAGGACATTCGTAGGTACACCAAATATCAATCCTGACACATCATGCAAACTGGTTCTTTACATGGTCCACAAGCATAGATTGCTAGCAAAGCAGATAATGGAGATATAAACAATATGCTAAACTGTTCATCCACATATTTTTCTTCCAGAAAAACCTGAAGTTTTCTAAATTAGTTGAATACCTGATTCCATTTCAGATTTTAATACATCAGATCCTATGGCAGACGTATCATTGAACTCTGTCTCTGAAGCGTGATCAACTTCTAGCGCAGTGGATTCCTTGAATTCAATTGGAGTTCTCCTAGACTCTGATGGTGTCAGCAGCTGATGGAATCTTCGAAGTGGAGCATCAAATCTAAATTTGAAACCTACAAAATAGCCCAGAACTTTCTGAGGATATTGCAACAGCATAAATAATATAGTACAGAAACTGCATATGCTTCGAAATGCCAAGCAATTTGCTAATCATACATTTTTTGGCTAAATTACCAGATTGGTAGTCTAATTTGACCATGTTTTCCAATACGATATTTATTTCTGCTCCGCATCAATATGGTATTTTAACTTGTGCCTCAATGACAATAAGGCCATTTTTTCTCGCCGGTGGCGAGAATTCCAGCAAACTATATTTTTTTTAAAAATTTCTTCTATCCCGCTGGCCTATCAAAATTATCAAATCTATACCCTCCTCCTTCAACCTCTCCCAATTCAAATTTCTTCCACCCCTTTATCTAATAAGATCCTCCTTTGAGCCCCCTCTTTCTCCTTCAACCTCCCCCAATTTATACCTAACTCTTATCCAACCTCAACAACCTTCAGCCAAGTCGATAATAATTTGGATTAGGGTTTAGATTTGACTAGTAGGAGTCTGAAGGAGAAAGCAGGGGCTCCGTTGATGAGAGGAAAAGAAAAAATGAAGGAGAATTGTATTGGGTAGAAGGGTGAAAGAGATAAAAATTGGGGGAGGTCGAAGGAGTGTAGATTTAATAATTTTGATAGGTCGGAAAGGGGTGGGGCAGGGGATGGAAGAGATTTTCCAAAAAAAAAAATACAATTTACCGGAGAAGGGCCTTATTGCCATCAGGGCACAAGTTAAAATACCATATCAATGCCGGAGCAAAAATAAATACCATGTTGGAAAAAAAAGCCAAGGTAGAATACCAATCTGGTAATTTAGCCCCTTTTTTCATCCCAGAGCTTGTTATTGTATGGTCTAAGCCACATAGCCTGAAAGACTACAAACAAAAGAGAATTTGGGTCAAACTGCAAAGACTAAGTTAATGTTGTGAAAGAGAGATGCCACGTTCTCTCTTTTAGAAATACTTAATACTGCAAACTCACTGAAACTTAGAAATTAGAAAACTTGATGAAGCTTTCACCTGATTGTGCAGTTACAAGTACAAGAATTAGATACAATATGAACCCACTATGCATATGCACAATCTTAAGAACAACTGATAAGTATTCTCTGTGGATAACTGGAAATGGAGATAATGTTATATGCACGTATCTATATGGCTTTTCAAAGAAGATCAATGCCTGCAAAAGAAGCATGCACATTTCAAAGTACATCACTTGCATCCGACACATCAGTCACGAATCAACAATATGGGAATGATACTTGCCGAACATGTATCAGACACACAATGGGACCACGTCTAACTTACAGATCCAACAATTTCATGCCCCACTTGTATCAGCTCAAAAAAATAAAAAAGGACATTTTATGCCTATCCCCTTGGAGTTGGAGCTTTGTATATTCCAATAAGTACAAGAACGATACTCTTAAACATTGATTGAATAATATTTTAATAAATCCTAATCAACTAATAAACATGTGAAGGGCATGATAAGCTTGTGATAGATACAGTGTCGGATTAAATTCCAATTCTTCTTCTTCCCTTTTTTTTGGTTATCAATTAGCTAATAACAAGTTACATGTTTTAATGATTAAGAGTTTATTACATTTTTATCTATTGATGTGTAATTGTGTATCAAATAGAAACATAAAAGCATGCACCCGACGACATGTTGCATTGTCCATGTATCCAGCTTTCTGAAAATATGTCATATCATCATGGGTGCCATATCATATCTATGTGTTGCTACTTGTTGTCGCAATGTTTGGTGAAAGAGATGGGATGTGTGAAAAAAATGGGTATAGAAATATGATTAGTCTAATGTCAGAAAGTTGGATATACTCATGAAATTGACAAATACAACTGAGCATGTGCATTCTAGTTCTTCAAATGTGAAAGCAAGACAAAGGAGCTATATGGATCATGAGTCCTAATTAAGCCAAAGCTGAAGAATCCATTCTTATAAACGAACGGTTCACAAGTGTTAAGAACCCCACTCTTAAAGTAGCAAAATTAATTTTTGATTATCCACAATGATGAATGATAGCCAGTTATTGAGGAATGATGTTGTGCATTTTTCAGGGGCAAGTGCACATTGCTGTTGCCTCTTCAAGAATCTATCAATTGTAGTTTGCATTTAGGTCCTTGTACCTTTATCTTCTTCTCATCATAAAGGTAGTATCAATTTAGCATGACCATATGGCATATACATTCTTATTAAGCTATGCTTAGAGGTTTTTGTATGGGAAATTTCTGTAATATTTCATTATACTGGATAGTTATATTCCACTTCTCCCTCGAATAAATAAATAAAATGGTATGCCCTTGCAACAGTATCTAGCTCATTGATGTTGTATTAACCCATCTGTGATTACGAAAATTTGTAGATGTACAACAAAAGTGATTTGCTAAACAAGCCAAGTAATGTCTCCCGACCTAGTCAGAAGTTTAAAATTCAGAGTTCCGCCAATGCTAGCTTATAGCTTACACTTATGCAACTGATTTCACCGGCAGAACAGCAAAGTTATTTAAGATTCTTAAAGGTACATGCAACCTTCCTAAAATTCGGTATGAATGCTACATGGCATATTTAAAGAGTAACAGAATTGTTAAAAAATTAAAATTAACCATCCAATTCGGCTTTGTTCCCCTGTAAAAAAAATTTAAAGAAAAGTAGATTCAAACCTTTCTTCGAAAAAGAGAAACAGGCAAATGCCGCTATCACGACTGCCATTGAAGCCCCAATACCAACAAATACAAACTTTTGACCACCTACAAAATATAATGATAAAAAATTAATTAGCTCCACAGAAAACAGGAATAAAACCGAAAATTTTGTCAAAATTTACCGCTGCGAGCCTCGATCTCTGGTTTCCTGCGAACGAACCAACCGCCAAACTCGTCACTGGAGCTCCCTTCCGTTTGGATCCAGGACACTTCAAGATTCGATCTTTGAGACGAAATCAATGGGCAAAACTGTCGATGCTTTGTGATCCGAGAGGAACTGGGCGGATGTCGAGGGTTAGTTAGGAGGGGATAGCGTCGGAGTTCGTTCGGGAGAAGAGATGGCTGGTGAAAGGGCAGAGTTAAGACCATCGCTGATGTTGAGATTTGGGAATTAGGGTTTCGTTCGTGGCTTAGGGTTTTGATGAAA